CAGGGTATGTGGAAGCTGCTCTTCCCCCGGGCTGTGATCAATGATGCAAGTAGCCCACAGAGAAAAGCAGGAGTGTGCCTGGTGCCCCCTCTTTGGCATGCATGGTGTTGTAAGGACAAGTCCCAGTACTGCCCTAAGTAAGGAATGGAGGTAAACTGAAATGGGCCAAATGTTACTTACTTGAGATAAACATGTACATATCTTCGCAGAAGTTTTATTTTCAAAGATTACTGACATAAATGCCTTTCTAAGGTCCTGTTGTTTTTTAGACTGTGTTTTAAACCTTAAATGATCTTACCGTGTTATTTTGAGGAATCCAATTAGCTTTTAACGAACTATCTACATCTCTTATTGTGCATGTAACTTCAAATTCTTCCCCTTCTTTGAGAAGCTGGCTGGGTTTGGATAAGGTGATAACAGGGAGGGCTTTGTGAACTGGAAAACAATTTATAATTGCATTATTTTTCATTACATTCAGAGCTTCCAAGAGAGATAAAAATCAACAAGTCATTAACCTTCCAACAAAATTCAGACCTCTTAGAGGCATTCAAATCTCTGCAATATATTAGAGTAGTGTTTTCATGCTAAGTATATTTCGATTTTGTCCCCTTTTAAACTATACTTAAAGTTAGGAAACACTTAGATCTACTCAAGTCACATGGATAAATGTGGACAGTATTTAACTATCAATCAGGTAACTCATTCTATGACAATGATGAACCTGCTGAAGTCTACAACTAAAACCAGTTAGAATTAGGTCATTAAGGAATTGCATCTTGAAATTAAATGCAATTTCTTAAATATAAAATATCTAAGTGAATTTAGTGCTCTTGAAAAAAAGTCTAACTGAATGCCCTAAAAGCTGAAAGATCTCCACTTAGCCAAAGGACAGGAACTGCATAGGGAATGACAGTGCTTGATTTTACTACACCACCCAGTCAATGGGCCTTAACTCTGCCTGAGATGGATGATAAGGGGAGAATGTAGGTCTTCATCAAGACTGACAAGGTTGCCAAATGAGATGGCTTTGGTGATGTGTTACTGACTTAGTAGGCTAGATACACAGCTGTTTTAAGTTGGTGTAGTTGTGCTGAACTCAATCAAGTAATGACAATTTACACTATCTGAGCATTGAGTACCTATGTATTTATCTGTAATATCTAAAGCTTTTCAATGTTCTCCTTTTCATTTTCTCTTTTGTTGCTTCAACATTTCCCCCCAATCCTTCCTTTAAATTGTTTCTTGTACTATAGTATAATAAATAATAATAATAATAGAATCATAGAAATATAGGGGTGGAAGGGACCATGAGAAGTCATCTAATCCAACCCTCTGTGCAGCTGCAGACCCAAGTATACCTAGACTGTCCCTGACAGGAGTTTGTCCAGCCTGTTCTTAAATATCTCTAATGTGAGGGGTTCCATAGTGTACTTTACAAGCCTATTCCAAAGATTAACTATCCTTATAGTTAGAAAATTTTCCAGTTAACTCACCTACCTTCAGAGGACATGGAGAACAATTGATCACCATCTTCTTTATCACAGCCCTTAACATATTTTGAAAACTGTTATCAGGTCCCAGCTCAGTC